CTTATCTTAAAAAGGACTAAAGGGAGTAAATCGACCCATGGCCCTGGTGCTGTCAAACAGTATTTAGTTAATACATTCTTAATAGTATAATTCATCCTTTCTACCTTAACGGAGGTCTGGGGCCAATATGCAGTGTGTAAATACCATTTTATATGCAATAATTTAGCTATATCTCGTATAACCTCTCCTACAAATGCTGGCCCATTGTCGCTGCCTATAGAGAGAGGCAGACCAAACCTTGGAATTATTTCCTTTAATAAAACTTTGCATACTTCTGAAGCCTTCTCTGTTCTTGTAGGGAAGGCCTCAGGCCATCCAGAGTTAGTGCAAATACATACCAACAAATATTTATAACCTGTGCAAGGGGAGACTTCTGCAAAATCCATTTCTATGTCCTCAAAGGGGGTTGTGCCCTTCCACTGTATTCCAGATAGTGCTCTGGGCCCTGAGGTCAGATTTGTTTTCTGATAAATTTGACATCTTTTTTAGACTTGTTCACACAAGACAGAAATCCAAGGTATGAAGAAATATCTCTCTAACAGTGTTTATAGGACCATTTTCCCCACATGAGTCAAGTCATACTATCTTTTAATCCAGTAGTATGACAGTGCCTCTGGTATCATCATCCTGTTGTCAGGTAGGATCCAAACAAGTCCTTGTTTCTCAGCCAATTGTTTCTTAGCCCATTCATTCTCTTTATCTGAGTATTCTATAGTAGCTAGGGGTTTTTGTATCTCTAAGTTTCTCTTTTGTGCACGGGTAAGCACAATCATCTGAAGTTTCTGTTTAGCTGCCTTTTTAGCTTCTACATCTGCCCTAGCATTGGTCTTGGTTATTGTATCTTTTCCTTTTTGGTGCCCAGAGCAATGCATCACTGCTACTTTATCAGGTTCCCACACTGCCTCCAACAACTGAATTATCTCCTGTTTATTTTTAATTTGTTTGCCCTCCACTGTGAGAAGACTACTCTCTTTATATATTATGCTATGAATATGTAAAGTAGCAAAGGCATAACTGAAGTCTATATAAACATTTACCTTCTTTCCCTTTGCCCACAGAGAGACTGTATGAGTGCTCAAAGTTCTGCTCACTGAGCTGACCATCCAGTGGGGAGGGGTTCCTCTTGGACCACCTTGTCTGGGTCATCACTGCATAGCCAGCATAGTGTACCCCATTTTCCATGAAATTGCTCTTATCCACGAACAGGATGAAATCAGCATCAGGCAGTGGGGTTTTTTGCAGATCCAGACAACTAGAGAACAGCTCATCAGTGATGCTGAGACAATCGTGGTCAGGTTCTAAGGGCAAAAAGGTAGTGGGATTCAAGTTTTTAAATGGAACAAAATGTAGATGGGGGTTTTCACAGATGAGGGCCTGATATTGTGTGACTCTATTATTTGAGAGCCACTGATGTCCTTTGTTATTTAACAGTTCTAGGACAGCATGGGCAACCTGAACAGTCAATTTCTGTCCTAAGGTTAGCTTGTCAGTTTCCTTATCAGCATAACTGCAGCTGCCAGAGCTCATAGACAAGGGGGCCATCCCTTCGCAACTGGATCCAAATTTTTAGATAGATATGCCACTGGCTGGTTCCAGGGACCCACTTTTTGGGTGAGCACCCCCAAGGCAGTATGGTTTCTTTCAGTCACATACAAGGTAAAAGGTTGAGTCACATCTGGGATTCCCAATGCAGGGACAACAGAGAGTTAGTTTTAACCTTTTAAATGCTGACTCTTGTTCTTCACCCCATAAGAGTTGCTGTCCTTCTGGGCCTTTTAAGGCTCCATATAGGGGCTTGGCTATATGTGCAAACCTTGGAATCCAGATTCTGCAAAATCCTACAGCTCCTAAGAATTCTCTCAACTGCTTTTGTGTTTTAGGTTCTGGTATGGTGCTACTTGCTTTCTTTCATTCCCTAAACAGCTCATTCCTTTAGTAATTTGTAATCCCAAATATGTGACTTGCTACACTCCCTCCAACTGGACTAAAAAATAGAGTACTTGGCAAAAGAAAGTTGATCCTTTGAGAAAATGTAGTAATCTGCTTTCGAATTATGCTTATTGTTTCAAAATCCCAACTAGGAAATCATAGTGTGTATCTTAAACTTGTTTGTGTTGACAAACTGTAGAATCAAGTTTAGTATTTTATACCACAGCAGAAGTTCCATTTGGCAACTTAACTTTTATTCTATAGTGATTGTTTTTTGTTTTTGTTTTTGTTTTTTTGTTGGGGTTTTTTGTTTGTTTGTTTGTTTTTTGTTTTTTGGGGGGGTACCGGGGATTGAACTCCGGTCCTTGCACTTGCAAGGCAGGCCACTGAACCGCTGAGCTAAATCCCTGGGCCTAGCAATCATTTTTTAAAATCTAAATAAGCCTGCCCTCTATAATAGCCAGATGATTTTTGTTTTGCTTTATTTTCTTTTTGGTATTGGGGATCAAACTTTGGTCTTTGCACTTGTGAGGCAGGCTGTGGCACCACTGAGCCAAATCCCCAGCCTCCAAATGTTGTTATTAACATAAGACTTAAAATTTCACTTATTGCATAAATTTTTGTTTTGTTTTGTTTTGTTTTTGGTACGGGGGATCACACTCAGGACCTTGCATTTATGAGGCAGGTGGCAGAATTATTGAGCTAAATCCCTGGCCCTAACATGAAATTGTCTTTATAGGGTGAGATTGTTCTATTTGGAATTATATCCTGATGAATCTAAAAAAACATTCTTTGAAAAATTAAATATTGCTACCCTGGTCATTATCAAACATTTACTTTATAATAATCATGTGGGGATTTGGTAAAGAGGTTGAATGATCTTGTGCAGGGTGAGAAGGGAACATGTACCAGGCAGTCAGTGGAGCAGGCAGGCACAACTCTGGCACCAAGCTTGTAATCACCTTATGCTTTATGTAGTTCAGTGATGGCAAACCTTTTAGAGCTGTCAATGATAAACAGCTGGATGCAGCATGCTTCCCAAAAGTTTGCCACCACTGATGTAGTTTTAAAAGACTGCATGCCTTGAAAATGATCCTTCATTCATAGGACATTCTTCTCCCTAGATATATTTGGCACTCTGAACATTCTAAATACAACAGTAGAGAGCGATACATAAACTGACAGATTTTGGGATGTGTTTCTTCAACACAGTTTTGGTCATTTTGGTGCCAGCCTCAACAGACCGTTTCATTGAGCAGCACCATTGCTTTTTTTTTTTTTTTTTGTAATGGGTATTGAACTCAGGTCCTTGTGCTTGCATGGCAGGCAGTGGAACCACTGAGCTAAATCCCTAGCCCCCACCAGTGCTTCTTTAGTAGGCAGATCACTTTATTATTTATCCTGGTGCCACTCACAGTGATTAAAGAGTACTTACCATTATTGTTCCTAGCTTTCAAAATAGGAATTTAAGTCTTCCTACGAGTACAAATGAAGTTAAAACACTTGAATCAAAACTTTAGCATAGTGAGGTTTTAGAATCTATAGAACTGGCTCAGAGACATTCTTATCACTTTTCCTAAAGTCAGTCTTTTTAGCTGTCCAAGTAACCCTTTCCTTTCATTAGCTGTGGGTGTCTGTGATGCAAGTAACTCTCCTCCCATTTATGGGGTAGTTCAAGGAAGTGGAAGTGCTGTCTCCCATTTTTCTGGTGACTTCAGGTATAGAATTCACCATTTTATCCTTAAATCCTCAAAGGATTGCGGTGGAGTAGAATTTAATGCAATAGCCTTCTATTTTTAATAGGAACTTAGAAAACACTTAGGACTATATAAAGTTGCTTTCTTTAGAAACAAGAACTATTTATTTGTATCTAAAGCAATGGGTTTTTTTTGTACTGATTCTTATCCCTCTGTATGAATAAATGAAAGACAGTGAAAAAAATGTCTGTGCCATTGCTAGTACACAATGATGACAGCAGTTGTCACCTACTTCCTCTTGGTCATTTGATTTATTCAGTCAGTTTGAGCCTAGGTTCTTGGTTCAAAACTATTATGCAAACTGTATCTGTTTTGTTCTTGTTGGTTTTGCTTCCCTTTTTTTCATTAAGTTTATTGGTATTTTTTAGGTATACAGTACAGTTACATCATCATTGGGACCTTGTACCTTTACATGATGTATCTTGTAATCATGATGATATATCTTCTTATTTTTCCCCATATGCCTGCCCCCAATTGTTTCCCTTTTTAAACCCTGTACCAGTTGCTTATTAGATTTACACAGAGACACAACTCCTAACAAGGTATTGCTAGCCAGCACCGAGATGGTACAGTCACATACAGAGCAGACAGAATGAACAGTGGATTTAACAAAGGACTTCAGGCAAACAGACTGAGAATCACTCCCAACATCCTTGTTGCTCAAATATGGCTAAAAGGGTTTTGACACTGACTCCTCAAGCCAACAATTTGCTCCAAAGTAAGAGCAAGAAGCCACAACAGAGAGTCCATCCTAGCAATAAGGGACAATCAAACCGAACTACAAGGTGGCTTATCAGAAATGGTCTTGATGGAAAGGGGGAAACAGGAAAGCTGGATCAAGATGGAGTTGCTCCTGCCATCCCTGACATAAATAACTAAAGCAGGGAGGTTCTGAAGGAAGGGCATTCACACACAATTCCCTGACTGTGCCTATCAACACTCTCCTCAACTCACAACACTGAAATGTTTGATTTGTTACCAGCTTTTTTCAACTTGGAGATTTCACATAAGAATCTGTATGTCCAGCTTCTCTTTAAAAAGCCAGGAGACTTGTCTCTTAGGCTACCTTCACTCCCACCGGGGCACTGTGCCACCCCTCCACTGTGCCCTCAAAATCCCGCCCCAGCCTCCACCCACCTCCACCAGTTGCCCCACAGCCCGTTTGTGTCAGGAGCCTGGGTGTAAATGCCTCAGAAGGGACACGTTCCTGCCCACAGTCTAGTCCTGAGTCCAACAAACCTCACAGGGCACTGTTCCTTGGGCTGGCACTAACCTCACCACCATCACAGAGGAGAACTGAAAATGCCCCCTAAAAAAGAAGTTTAAGCCACACCCTATGTTCCCAGATTTTATTGGCTCCATGGTACAGCAGTATTTCAAACACTCCCGTTTAATGGACAATTTGAACAAATGATTTCCAAAATTCTCTATCACAAGCCATGGGCTTTTTTACATTGTAGTAAATACTCCCAAATTTCCTCCCAAAATAGTGGCAATAGTCTAAATTCCACTAACCCTGAAAGACAAAAACAAAGTGGCATTAAATGCTGTTTAATTTGACTTCAGTTTCACAATTGCTGCAGGTGAGACTAGCATTGCAGGTGTGACTGGGCATGGGCAGGGCTGCAGGCACAGTAGACACCTATCCATCCCCTCCTCACCTGGTCACCTGCTGTTTCCAGGGCACAGTGTTCTTCCCTCCCCCTGGATTCCCACACCTGCCCATATTCTCTGAGGGAGCTGTAGACCCCACCTGGTGCTCAAGTGGGAACTTGTGCTGAAAAACTCCAGTATTTCCTCAACATGTGGCAATTTTTCTCATTCCTGGTTTGACTGGGATTCTTCTGTCTCACCTTTTCCTGTTTCAAGGACTCTCATTATTTGCACATGGGCTCACCTCAGATATGACTTCTGCTGCCACTTTTAACAGGGATTTCCATCACATCTCCTACCCTGGCTCTCAGCAAACACCCCACACACACACACACCTTCACTGTCTCTAGTCAGGTTTGTTTGGAAGTTGTATCAATTTCCAAATATTCTTTTTTACTCTCGAGTTCACCATAACACCCCTAATCTTACTGCAAATGTCCTTCGTAAAGTGTCCCTGGGAGCTCCCTGTTCTAATTGCTTGGGCCATCTACCCTTTCTGTGAAATGCTGATTCCCCTGAAAGCAGGGACCACCTTGACACACCCCACATTAGATGCGCAGGAAATGCAGGATCTTTGGGGCTGAGGGCCTGGGTGACAAAAGGAACACACACACACACACACACACACACACACACACACACACACACAGGTTCTGGCTATGCATGTGAGTGCCTACATTTCCTGGGTGCTCTGGGTAGCCCACTTTTCCCAGTGCATGTGGTGGCAGGTGCATGACCCCACTCTACCCGTTGGTCCCCAGGCAGCCAGGAACCACATCCTACTACACAGTGACCTCAGGTTTCTCCGTGAATGACAAAGGAAGAGGGCTACCCATCCAACATGGTCCTCAGACTACCAAGGTCTCACAGGCCATTCCCAGCTCTATTGGGTCATGAGGCTTCCCCTCAACCAGTGCTAGAGGTAAATGTGGAGCTCGCTCAGCCTGAGCTCAACTGAACCCTTTGTCTTGTAAACAGCTTGGCATCATCTCTCGATCTGAACTGTTATCAGTCAGCAATAAACTGCTTGCCATCCTGCCAAACCCAGGCCCAGCTCTGAGGGAGGTCACAGGCATGTCCTCAGGGACCAGTGCCAGGTCCTTGGGGAGGGGAAGTTCAGGGAGCTGCTCTGAGGCCCTTTGGACCACAGCCTGGCCTGCCTGGGTTGTGTTCATTGGGGAGGGGAAGGGTGGCCTGGGAGGACTCCCTCCTCTGGCCAGGTGGGCTGTGTCCCGGGTGGTGAGCCTGAGGATCTGCAGCTCTCACTCTTACAGTGGTGGTCTGTGGTATGGGTCTCCAGGGAAGGCTGGGAAGGAGAGTCGCCCTACTGCTCCAGGAAGGGTATCTTTTTGGGGGGCTTCTCAGGAAACTGCAGCGAGTACAGGCGGGCCATGTACTGGACCTCGGGTGTCACCATTCTCAGACACAGGCGCAGCGTGGCATTGTCCAGGTCCGGCCGCAGGATGTAGCCCAGGATGTCGGCTGCACCGGACTGGTAGGGGCGCAGCTGCGGGTCTGCGATGCTAGCCCCGCTGCGAATCGCCCCGACCGGCAGACACAGGGCCTCGAGCTCCCT